AGCGTCCGACTTCAGCCAGGTCACGATCTCGCGGTCCGTGAGTTCGAGCCCCGCATCGGGCTCTGGGCTGATGGCTCAGAGCCTGGAGCCTGTTTCTGATTCTGTGTCTCCCTCTCTCTCTGCCCCTCCCCCGTTCATGCTCTGTCTCTCTCTGTCCCAAAAATAAATAAATGTTGAAAAAAAAAAAATTTGAAGAGTCATTAACTAAAAGACCTCACAATGAATAGTGTGTGTTACTTTGACTAGGATTTCACCAAGAAGACTGTGATTGGATTGCTGGATATCTATGGGTTTGAGGTCTTCGACAAGAATGGGTAAGTTTGTCATTACCTCCTGGTCCTCTGTCCGTCTGGTCTGAGGCATCTCTAATGTTGCTGGAACTGGGTTTCCCATCTTTAGAAAATCTCGGGATTTCCATAGCCACTAACTCATAGACTGTTCCAGAGTTGAAATGACCATTAAAAAAGGCAAACGTCTTGGGGCGCCTGGGTGGCTCAGTCGGTCAAGTGTTCGACTTGGGCTCAGGTCACGATCTCACAGTTTGTGAGTTGGAGCCCCACATTGGGGTCTGTGCGGACAGCTCAGAGCCCAGAGCCTGCTTCGGATTCTGTGTCTCATTCTTTCTCTGTCCCTCCCCCACTTCTGCTCTGTCTCTCTCCGTCTCTCAAAAGTAAATAAATGTAAAACAAAAACGCAAACATCTTTTAACTTGATTCTTGGGATCTATTTAGTAAATTGTGTAATTAATAAGGACTTTGCTTTTTCTGTATTAAAAAGCATCTTTAAAAAAGAAGTAAATACAGGGGTGCCTGGGTGGCTCAGTCAGTGAAGCGTTGACTATTGATTTCGGCTTGGGTCATGATCTCACAATTTCGTGAGTTTGAGCCCCGCATCGGGCTCCGTGCTGACAGTGCAGAGCCTGCTTGGAATTCTCTCTCTCCCTCTCTCTCTGCCCCGCCCCCACTTCCGCACTCTCTCTCTCTCTCTCTCAAAATAAGCGTTAAAAAAAAATAAAAATAAGCAAATACAGTTTTTTAATTGGTCTACTCGTGTAGCTTTAGCTCTTTAAATTTTTGGCCTCTCTAGTTTCGAACAGTTCTGCATCAATTACTGCAATGAGAAACTCCAGCAACTGTTAATTGAGAGAACCCTTAAGGCGGAACAGGCAGAATACGAAATGGAAGGCATAGAGGTAAACGTCTTAATGTTTTCTTCTCACTTGATTTCTTAATCTAGCGAAAGAGATTTGCTTGAGAAAGGATATTTCCCTGGAGATTTTGGCCTCCCTAGTACTAAGAATTATTTTTTTCTCCCCTGCTCTGCTTATTTTCTGGGAAATTACTTTGACATTCGGGTAGTTTCTTTTCTTTTCTTTTTTTTTTTAGTGTTAGAGATAAAAAAATCAGATTTTGGAAAAATAACGTTGGAAAATCATTTTAAAAAGAGATCTGTTTTATGTTCATCTAAATCCCCCTCGGAGAATTCTTTTCTCTTTGTCATTTCAGTGGGAGCCCATTCAGTATTTCAACAACAAGATCATCTGTGATTTGGTGGACGAGAGACACAAAGGGATCATTTCCATTCTGGTGAGAAAATTAATGTTGACTTAGAGTCCATTCATACGGTGTCGCCAACACGCGGAAGTTTTCCCCCAGGCTTGAAAAGGGTTGCTTAGCCCAAGCAGAAAGCCAGAAAACATAAAGGAAGGTTTTACAAAGAATGTGCGCTGATCCAGAGTTGAGACTCCTTGGGATGCACCCATGGCTTTATCTTGACCTGTTGGAACTTCTGAGAACATCCATGCCCAATTGTTCCAGTTCAAACATCGCTTTTTTCAGCACGTTTATTTATTTTTGAGAGAAACAGAGTGGGAGTGAGGGAGGGGCAGGGAGAGAGGGAGACACAGAACCTGAAGCAGGCTTCAGGCTCCCAGCCATCACCCCGATGCAGGCTCGAACCCATAACCCACGAACCGCGATATCATGACCTGAGCCAAAGTCGGATGCTTAACCGTCTGAGCCACCCAAGACGCCCCCAAACATCACTTTTTAAAATCTAAAGCCAATGAGAAAGTATTTCTTTGCCTTTTCATTTGGGATCTTCTCCCTTATAACGAAAATAACTGGTCTCCTCTCTCCTGCCTGCCGCCCGCCCCCACCTAACTGTTGGGTGAACAAGATTCTAAAGCACAGCCGTGACTACAGATGGTGCCTATCGTTGCCAGGAACATGGGCACCCCCTGGATTCAGATGCCCGCCCCATTGCTTGCTAGCTTGTAACCTTGGGTGGGTGTCTTACCCTCTCTGAGCTCCCATCTCCTTGTCTTAAATGGATGCAGTGAATAGCAGCACTTATCTCGAGGAATTGTAAGGACAGGCTGAGATTGTACATGCACAGGGCTTAGAATTATGCCGGGGTGTGGTAAGCATTCAGACTCTCTTCGTTCAACAAATGCTTACCGAATGCTTCCTTGGTGCCGTGACTGTGCCCTGTGCTGTGGGACACAGGCAGTGGACAAAACAGACCAAAACCACTACATTCATGAAGCTTTCAATTCTAGCGCAGAGAGACTGACAACAGATAGTTTTGTGGGCAACATAAGTAGGTTTTACAATGAAAAAAGCTCAAAAGATGAGATGCGCCGGGAAGGATGACTCAATTTCAGGCGAGGTGGTCTGGGAAGGGCCGTGTGGACATCCGGGGAGGCAAGTTCCGGGAGGCACAGGCTGACATAAGCTCTTCTCTGGGCTCTCAATGCTCATATTGATGGCTAGACCAGCATAGACATGTCTCTTCGAAAGAGTTGTTTCATTCACCTGAAGCCCGGTGTTCTCTTGTCGTTTTAACAAAAGCTGCAGGGTTGATTTTAAAGATGGTCACTCGCATGTTGCCAGTGTTAAGGGCCCAAAACAGGAAGTAGAAAGACACAGCCGGAGAGACTTGAGAAGTTAGATGCCCGGGGCTTTATAGCTTTCTCTCCATGAGGTTTTTGCTCCTGATAAAAGGGGATGTGGTCTTGGCCAGCAGTGGCTGGTTAAGAGAAACTGAGGTGGTGTTCAAGAAGACTTTGGAAATATGGTGGTCGGATGGGTGGGCGAGGTGACTTTTCACAGAATTTCAGATCCCTCTGAGAAGCTAAGCACGCGTGAGGGGTCACTGCCCTCGCGCCACCAAGGTTCACCTGAACTTGGGTTGAGGTGACAGCGTTTTAGTCCACTACCTTCGGCCACAGCTGGCGAAGGCATTTCAACTTGGAATCGATGGCATAAGATGCTACGGATCGAGGCTTCTCTTTTTTCTCTGGAAGGATGAAGAATGTATCCGTCCCGGTCCCGCTACGGACTTGAGTTTCCTGGAGAAACTGGAAGAGAAAGTAGGCCAGCATGCACACTTCCAGACGTATGTATCTCGCTCGACAAGCTGTTGCTTGGGGAAGCTCGTCACTTACCCACTTTCTTGGGTATGTGGGCAGTGGACCCCAAGAGTAAAGGTGCTTCTTCGTGCACAGAAACGTGATGCACCATGATGATATACCGACTCCTATATATGTGTACCTTTTGTTAGTAGAAATCAAACCCGAATTCCAGGTAGAATGTTCTAAGATTTTGTATCTTTTTTTTTTTTAACATTTATTTTTGAGAGTGAGAGAGAGCACAGTGGAGGAGGGGCAGAGAGAGAGGGAGACACAGAGTCTGAAGCAGGCTCCAGGGTCCAAGCTGTCAGCACAGAGCCCGACATGAGGCCCAAACTCATGAACCATGAGATCATGACCTGAGCCGAAGTCAGACACTTCATGGACTGAGCCACCCGGGCGCCCCTAAGATTTTGTATCTTTATGATCGTGACCTTGTGGACAGGGTCACAGGTGTGAAATAGGCTTCTTTTTGAAAGTCTTTTTTTTTTTTAATGTTTATTTTGAGAGAGAGAGAGTGCAAGCAGGGGAGGGACAGAGAGAGAGGGAGAGAGCCAACTAGGCTCAGTGCAGTCAGCGCAGAAGCCAACACGGGGCTTGATCTCATGAACTGTGAGATCATGACCGGAGCTGAAATCAAGAGTCAGACACTTAATGGACTGAGCCACCCAGGAACCCCAGAAATAGTCTTTTTTTTTTTTTAAGTTACGTATCAAATATAAAGTACACACAGAGCTATGTGTGGATCTGAAGCGTACGACCCAACGAATCTTCACATTCGTGTGTACTCACATCAGTGCCACGTAGATCCAGAGAATGAGGGTCTACAGCATCCAAGAAAATTGACTAGAATCGCAGCTCGGCCACTTATAAGACACGTGACCTATTAATATACCTGGTGCAGAGCATTGTAAGTGGCTCCGTAAGTCACCTAGTGTAATTTCGGGCCGTGGCAAAGACCGGGTAAATGGTAGTGGCTTTATCAGAGCTTTTGTAGAATATTGAAAGGCTAAGGAAATGAATCAAAAATGGAAAACTGAAGGGCACCCGGGTGGCTCAGTTAAATGTCTGACTTCAGCTCAGGTCACGATCTCATGGTTCATGAGTTAAAGCCCCGCATCAGGCTTGGGAATTCTCTCTCTTCCTCTCTCTCTCTGCCCCTCCCCACTTGCATATTCTCTCTCTCTCTCTCTCTCTCTCAAAATAAATAAACTTTTTAAAATCTTTAAAAAAATGGAAAATTGAATTGCAGCATATTCACAAATGGCATAATACATAGCCACGAGAATGAACAATCCATAACCACATGCAGTGATGTGGATAAATCACAGAACATATAAGCAGGAGGAATCAGACCCACAGGGGCACCTGGGTGGCTCAGTCAGTTAAGCATCTGTCAGCACAGAGCCCGCTTCGGATCCTCTGTCCCTCTCTCTGTCTGCTCCTTCTCCATTCAGGCTGTGTCTCTCTCTCTCAGAAATAAACATTTAAGCAATTTTTTTTTAAAAAGAGGAATCAGACACAAAAGGGTACATACGATACAATTAGGTTTCTATAAAGTATAAAACCAGATAAAAACCAACGTGTTGCGTTAGGTGTCAGGTCAGAACTGGAAAGGGCTCAAGGGTGGGGGGGGGGGGTAGGTGGTTCTCCGGGAACCAGTAACGTTCTGTTTCTTGATCTGGTTGCCGGTTACCTGGGTGTTCGTTGTGCCAAAGTGCACTGAACCATACACTTAGGGTATCTGCGTTGTCAATATATATGTTATGTACATTTCAAGAAAGGTTACAAAAAAATTAGCCATCACCAGAATCTGAAAAATGATGTTTTATGAGCATTTTAGTCACTTACCATCATAAAAATGTAGTAAATTGGTTCTTAGTTATCATCTGGAAAAAGTAGAAGTTTTTTCATTGTACAAATCAGTGTGTCTTCTGTGGCTCACGTGTGTTTTTTAATTCCTCAGTTCTCAGGGGAAGGATCACATTTTAAGTCTTTGTTTCAATTCCAGTTAGTTAACATACAGTGTTATGTCAGTTTCAGGGGTGGAGTATAGTGACTCAGCACTTTCATTCCTCACCCCGTGCTCATCACAAGTGAAGTCCTCAGTCCCCATCGCCTGTTTCCCCCATGTCCCCACCCTGGTCCGTTCTGGTAACCATCAGTTTGTTCTCTACAGTTGAGTTTGTTTCTTGCTTTGTCCCTCCCCCCACCCCCCGCCTTTGTTCATTTGTTTCTTAAATTCCACATATGAAAGAGATCGCACGGTATTTGTCTTTCTCTGACTGACTTTTACTTAGCCATTATATTCTCCAGGTCCATCCATGGCGTTGCAAATGGCAAGATTTCATTCTGTTTTGTGGCTGGGTAATATTCCATTGTGTTTATATGCCATATCTTCTTTATCCATTCACCAGTCGGTGGACACTTGGGCTGCTTCCATAATTGGACTGTTGTAAATAATGCTGCTATAAACATAGGGCTGCATGTATCCCTTTGAATTAGTGTTTTTGTATTCTTTGGGTAAATACCTCGTAGTACAGTTGCTGGATTGTAGGGTAGCTCTGTTTGAACTTTTGGAGGAACCTCCCTGGTCCTTCCCACAGTGGCCGCACCACTTTGCGTCCCACCAGCTGTGCAAGTGGGTTACCCTTTCTCCAGGCTTCTCTTTCGCTCTTTGCTTTCTATGTTGGTGCGTGTTGTTACAGCAAACTAGGAAAGTTCAGTTCGTGCCTCGTTCTCTCTTGCTGCAGCCGGAAGCTGGCGGGGCCAAAGGGCCGAAAGAGGATTGGCTGGATGGAGTTTCGGCTCTCTCACTACGCAGGAGAGGTCACGTACTGCACCAAAGGTGAGTGTGCGTGGGGCGTAGGTCACGGTCACGCAGGTGTCCCTGTGTCCGCCGAAGAAACAGCTGCACGTCTATCCCAAACATTCCCTAGCTCTGCTGGCAAGCAAGCCGTTTGAAGTTTTCTCTTTATTACTTTTTTGTCGAACCACTTCATTTCACCCATTTAAAGTGTACCCTCCGGTAAGTTTTACTCTGTTCACTTTATAGTTATGCACCCGTCACCGCTGTGCATTTTAGAACGCTTCGCCCCAGGGGCGCCTGGCGTGGCTCAGTCAATGAAGCAGGCAACTCTTGGCCTCGGCTCTGGTCGTGATCTCGCGGTTTGTGGGTTCGAGTCCCAGGTCAGGCTCCGCGCTGATGGCACAGAGCCTGCTTGGGATTCTCCCTCTTTCTCTCTGCCCCTCTCCTGCTACCGTGCTCTCTCTCTCTCAAAATAAATAAATATTTAACAAAAAAAGAACACTTCATCCCAAAAAGAAACCCTGTTTGCATTAGCAACTATTCCCTATTTTCCCCAGCCCCATCCCCCACAGCTGTGAACTAATCTGTTTTCTGTCTCTGCAAATTTGCCTGTTCTGGGTATTTCATCTAAATGGAATCACACAATGTGTGGTCTTCTGTGTCTGCCTTCTTTCCCTTAGCATCTTGTTTTCAAGGTTCATCTGTGTTACCATTTTTATTGCTAAATAATATTCCATTCTATGGATATACCCTGTTTTGTTTATCCATTCATCAGTTGACAGGCATTTGGGTTGTTTGCTTTTGAGCTCTTACTAATAAGGTTCCTATGAACATTGTCTTTCAAAACCTTTAAAAAATATTTTGTCATTTCTGCTTTAGGTTCTAAATTATTTTCCCTTTTTTTTTTTCTTTTTACCGTTCTCTTTTTTTAAGGTAGGCTCCACACCCAACGTGGGGCTTGAACTCACAACCCCAAGATCAAGAGTCACATGCTCCATTGACTGAGCAAGCCAGGCGCCCCTAAATTATTTTCACTTTTAAATCAGTTTCTCTAAGAATATTTAAAAAGCAATATGTAGGGGCGCCTGGGTGGCGCAGTCGGTTAAGCGTCCGACTTCAGCCAGGTCACGATCTCGCGGTCCGTGAGTTCGAGCCCCGCGTCGGGCTCTGGGCTGATGGCTCGGAGCCTGGAGCCTGTTTCCGATTCTGTGTCTCCCTCTCTCTCTCTGCCCCTCCCCCGTTCATGCTCTGTCTCTCTCTGTCCCAAAAATAAATAAACGTTGAAAAAAAAAATTTTTTTTTTAAAAATAAATAAAAAATAAATAAAAAGCAATATGTATTTTTTCTCTTGAATTCAGAGTGGTATAAAAACAGAAAACATTTTCAAATGGAATGAATCTCTCTTTGTGGATAATTGATTGACTGTCATCAATCAATGATATACACGTAACGCAAGAAGTTCCTAACGGTACGGAAAAGTCCAAAAAAGGAAACTAAAAGTCCCCTTTACTCCTAGTTCTCCCACAGGAACCAACAGTTTCTTGTAATTTCTTTCAGGAAAATAGAAATATCTTCTGCATCTACTTAAATATGTGGGGACACATATACATATTCAAATAACACGTATATGCACACACATTTAAGTAACACAGATTGTTATTCTGTGTTCTCTATTTTGCATTTTTTTTCATTTAATGAAAACGAGAAAAATTGTTTCTTGTTTTTGTTTTAAATGTTTACTTTTGAGAGAGAGAGGGAGAAAAAGCGCGTGCCCAAGTGAGCTAGGGGCGCAGAGAGAGAGAGAGAAGCAGGGCTCATAGTCACCCGAACTGGGGCTCAAGCTCACCCAGTGTGGGATTCGAACTCATGGGATCATGACCTGAGCCGAAGTCAGATGCACCCAGGTGCCCTAAATGTTTGTTTATTTTTGAGCGAAAGAGCGTGAACAGGGGAGGGGCAGAGCGAGAGAGAGAAGGAAAGAGAGGGAGACAGAGGATCCGAAGCAGGCTTGGTCCTGACAGCAGAGAGCCCAGTGTGGGGTTGAACGCACTAACCTCAAGACCATGATCTGAGCCAAAGTCAGACGCTCAACCGACTGAGCCGCCCAGGAGCCCAAGATCATTTGGATTCCAATTAACGCTCAATACTTACTGTAGGCCAGACACTGTCCCAGTGCTTCACCTCACAGAACCGTTTTATTATCCTTCTTTTAATCTCGAAGGCAACTGAGCTCAGAGAAGTCAAGTAACTTGCCCAAGGTCGCTCAGATAGTAAGTGACAGAGCTGGGGTTCAGACCCACACCTTTTGCCTCCGCACTCACATCTATTCTCCGTAGCAGCCAACAGATTGCACCACGTTTCTTTGGAGGGGCTGCAGGGACTCCCTCTAGGGCCGTGTCCTTTGACCTGTTTGATGGACACAGCTTGTTTCCAGTTTTGTTTCTTGTAAACCCTGCTGTCGTTGACCCCCTTGCATATTTCACTTGGCCAATCTGTGCATGTTATATACGTAGCATAAATTCCCAAAAGTGGCATTGCTAAGTTAAAAAGTTCTATCAGAAATTAGTTTGGGGGCGCCTGGGCGGCTCAGTGGGTTGAGGGTCCAACTTTGGCTCAGGTCATGACCTCATGGTTCGTGGGTTCGAGCCCCCGAGTCGGGCTCTCCGCTGTCACTGCACAGTCCACTTCAAATCCTCTGTCTCCTTCTCTCTCTGTGCCTCCCCTGCTTGTTCTCTCTCTCTCTCTCTCTCTCAACAATAAACATTTAAAAAGTTTTTCTAAGAAGAAAACCTTATGGTGGCGCCTGGGTGGCTCAGTCGGTTAAGCAGCCGACTTCGGCTCGGGTCATGATCTCACGGTCCGCGGGTTCGAGTCCTGCGTCGGGCTCTGTGCTGATGGCTCAGAGCCTGGAGCCTGTTTCAGATTCTGTGTCTCCCTCTCTCTCTGACCCTCCCCTGTTCATGCTCTGTCTCTCTCTGTCTCAAAAATAAATAAATATTAAAAAAAATTAAAAAAAAAAAAAAAGAAGAAAACCGTATGCCAAGTGAAATAAGCCAGTTACAAAAGGACAAAACCCTGCATCATTCCCATTATAAGGCGTAGTCAAATTAGAAGAGTAGCCAAATTCCTAGAGGCAGAAAGTGGTGGTTACCAGGGGCTGGGGGAGGGGGAGGGGGAGTTAGCATTTAACGGGGTCAGAGTTTCAGTTTGAGAAGGTGAAGCATTTTGGAGACGACTGGTGGTGCCAATTACACGGCAGTGTGGCCGTGCTTAATACCCCTGAACGTGTAAAAATAGCTAAAATGCTAAATTTTATGTTATGTCTGTTTTACCACAATAAGGATGCCAGTCTTGGTGACTCCAAATAGTCTTCTAAAAAGGTTAGGTCTCAGACACCTTTTTTTAGTTGGTTTTGATTGTATAACGTCATTTAGTTACGAACATAATTATTAGTAACTAATAAGGTTTTAAGCGAGCACTGAATAAACCGAGTTTTAACATTGGAAATGGCGAGTTTTCCTTTGTATGAAGACACTGTTGGGTGCCTCGAGTCCTGGGGCTTCAGCTTGGCTTTGCTAAGTGGTGGGATGATTTTCTCACCCGGCTTCGCCTGGCCCCTCTTGAAATTCAGTACCCCCTTCCTTGTTCTGACGTCATTCCGTTTATATGTAGTTCTATGCTATGGGACTAGGACATATCTATAGTGCTTCGCGTAAAATCTCTACCTTCTTGTGATAGCTAAGTGGGAGTTTAGAGTACAGCGTGTATGCCATAGATTCAACTCTGAGGACCTCATTCTCAACCAAGGGCGAGCTAACTCCTCCAGGAACATCTGGCCACGTCTAGAGACAATGTGATACTTGCAGCTAGAGAAGGTGACACTGACATCGCATGGGTAGAGGTCAGGGATGCTGTTAAACATTCTGTGATTCACAAGATGGACCCCACAACAAAGTCTTTTTGGCCCCAAATGTGAGCAGTGCCAAGGCTGGAAAGCTCCGACCTGATCCTAGGAGATTATTTGCAGGGTTTCCTTTTGCAATCACTTGGGATGGAAATGCATTTTTAGGCAAAGCCATTGACTCAAAAAAAGTTTCAACGTTTTACAGGCTTCTTGGAAAAGAACAATGATCTCCTCTACAGACATCTGAAAGAAGTAAGTGTGAAGTTTAACCATGTGTGTTTCTGATGGTTATTAGATATCACCCATGACCCGGATTTGGGGCTAGATTGGGCCTCCTGGATTTTTCTCTGCAGTCCTTTACGATAGACCTTCATGGCCAGAACAGATATTTGAGGTCATCTGTACAATGTGCCCTTGATCCAACGTGCCTATTCAAGTGTGTATGTTGCCCCTGCTGTGTGCCAGAACTCTGTACCCGCTCTGGGCGGTCCTTGCTCTCACGAGGCTTACCATGGGGGTGGGGAGTGACTGAGGATAAATATATACATTGACCCCTGAACAACAAAAACCCGCCAATCCTCCGTGCAGTCAAACATCCACCTATAACTGGGCACCTGGGTGGCTCAGTTGGTTAAGCATCTGACTTCGGCCCAGGTCATGACCTCATAGTTCATGAGCTCGAGCCTTGCATCGGGCGCCGCGCTACTGTGCGGAGTCTGCTTGGGATTCTCTCTTTCTTCCTTTCTCTCTGCCCCTGCCATGCTCTGTTTCTCAAAAATAAATGATTTTAAAAATCCATGTAAGACTTTTGACTTCCCACAACTTAACTGCTAACAGCCTGCCGTTGACCGGAAACCTTACTGATGCATAAACAGCCGATTCACACATATTTTGTCTGTTACGTGTATCATATATGCTGCATTCTTAAAAGGAGGTAAGCTAGAGAAAAGAAAATGTTAGTAAGAAAATCTTACAGAGACTCTTAAATACAGAGAACAAACTTGAGGCCCCCAAACTAAGAGCACACTGTATACTCTGTATGTTAGCCAACTTAACAATAAATCGTATTAAAAAAAAAAAAAAGAAAATCTTAAAATATATTTATAGTAATGTTACTGTTAAAAAAAAAACTACATGTAAGTGGATCCATGTGGTTCAAATCCGTATTGTTCAAAGGTCAACTGCAGTGCTCGCTTCGGCAGCACATATACAAAGGTCAACTGCACACGATAAGTTACCCATCAGTGAGAAGTGCTATGAAGAAAATAAGGAAATATGATTGAGAGGGACATTTTCTTTTTTAAAGTTTGTTTATTTTGAGAGAGACAGAGCATGAATGGGGGATGAGCAGAGAGAGGGAGAGGGAGAATCCCAAGCAGGCTCAGCACTGATGCAGAGCCTGACACAGGGGCTTGAATTCACAAACTGAGATCATGACCTGAGCCGAAATCAAGAATCAGATGCTTAACTGATCGAGCCACCCAGGTGCCCTGAGAGGGACATTTTAAATTTAGTTTAAGAGATCAAAGAAAGCACCCCTCTGGAGGTGACTTCGAGCTGTTGACTGGAAAAAATGGGGTTTCTCCAGGGTGGGGGACCAGCATGTGCAAAGGCCCTGAGGCCCAGATGAGTTCAGTGTGTGTTCGGTGATGAGTATAATGTTAGGAGCAGGGACTGAGCCCATCAGGATGAAGTCCCCAAGGAGGAGTAGAGATTTTTGTTCTGGTGCAGCGGGAATATAGCAGGGTAGCACAAACAGAGGATGAGGAGATGGACCCAGAGAAATCTCAACTTGTTCAAGGTCACACGGTGAGGTGGGGCTGAGATTAGCCCCTAGGGCTGCTGCTGCAAGTCCCAGTCTCCCTCCATGTACCTCACTGATCAGAAAAACCTTGGGTGTTGTAGAGCCTTGCTTTGCATTGAAACAGTCAACTGTTTTATAAAAATGGGATTTTATTTAAGTAGCTTGGTCTACAAAAAGCTTAAACGTTAGGGAGGCATTTTCAGAGTGGATGCACAGACCAGTCATTTCAGGGATGTCTTCTGCCCTCCCTGGTCTTTCTCTGTCACTTCTAGGTCCTCTTGTCCCCACCGCTGGGGTTCAGGATAGAGAAGCAATTCCTAACTTTGGATCTCTGCTCCAGGCAGGTGCTCCCTGGGTCATTGTCAGCCCCACCCCTTCCCAACTGGGGGTCTCGGGCAGACCTCCCCATCTGGTGAGGTGGGTCTGGTGGGGCCTCCCTCTCAGAGTCGCGGTGAATGACACAGGAGTGGAAGGGCCGGGCCGACACAGGGAACGTAATAATCGTCTCCTAACGATTTGACACACTGGCCTCTGTGTGCCATGCCCCTGCCCCTCACAAACCCACCCACGGAGGGGGCTTCCCGTGGAAAAATCTCCAAGTCTCTCACTTGACCAGCCAGGGCTGAAGCTCCTTGCACTTTGTTTTGGCTTCAAAATGGGTCATTTCAATTTGCTCTCTCCTGTATGCAAATTGCTGTTTCCTGCCGTTGTAAATGCAGAATTAGAGTGGATTAAACAATTTTTTTTTAATTTAAAGAAACATTGTGGGGCACAGGGGGCTCCGTCGGTTAAGCGTCTGACTTCGGCTCAGATCATGACCTTGACGTTCGTGGGTTCAAGCCCCGCATTGGACTCTGTGCTGACAGCTCAGAGCCTGGAGCCTCCTTCAGATTCTGTGTCTCCTTCTCTCTCTGCCCCCACCCCCCTCCACTCTCTCTGTCTGTCTGTCTCTCTCTTTGTCTCAAAAATCAATAAGTAAACTTAAAAAATACCATAAAATGAAGCTTTAAACATTTCCTTCCGTGTTTGACTATGTCTTTTCCCCACTTCTTCAAGTGCTCCGGAAGTAAGTGGCTCTGGGACCTTGTGCACACTTATGCAAGCTCTCCTGAAGGCCCCTTAGTGATTTCCGAAACACTGAACGTGGAACTCCTTTCTTTTACTTGCAGGTGCTCTGCAGTTCCAAAAATCGCATCCTGAAGGAATGCTTCCTGGTGGCTGAGTTAGAAAACCGAAGAAGGCCACCAACGGTGAGTGGGGAGGTGGGGAAAAAATGCTCATGCAGAATTAGAAAGGTAGCAAAAATCAGCCAGAGGGCACAGTTACCCCCAGTTACCTATACATTTTAAGCTGTCCTTCCTTTTTCTGGAAATGTTGCTAACACGTTCTACTAAATATATACTTTCCAAGCGTAGCAACCAGTGTGCTTGTTTGCACTCACTGAGTGCCTACCGTGTAGAGGGGGCACAGGATTTAACGCTAACAAAGTGGACAAGATCTCTCTTCTCATGGGGCTTATAATCTAGTGAAAGAAAGTATGGGAAAATACCATCAAAGAAAGAAAGAACTTAAAACAGTGTGTCCTAAAGGAAGCTTGGTAACAAGGAAATAAGAGAGCATGGGGGTGATGGTCTCAATGGCGATACTGGCTCTTACAAGGTGCTGATCACATATTTGCTAAGTGAAGGAAGAATTCTGGACAGGTGCTTGTCCGGCTTCTGCTTGACCAGTCTGAGCCTGTACTTCTCGGGCCAGGACATTCAGAACCTTCTCCTAGTGGGCAGAATGGTAATGGTAGGATAATATGTCAGGAGTTGGGACCTAAAGGGCTAGCCAATCTTCTCTGTATTTACTTGGAGCTGCAATCTCTACTTAGTTCATTCTCTCTCTCTCTTTCTCAAGGTGGGGACTCAGTTTAAAAACAGCCTGAGCAGCCTTCTGGAAATCCTCATCTCTAAGGAACCTTCATACATCCGTTGCATCAAGCCCAATGAGAGGAAAGAACCCAGTGAGTCATGAATCGTTCTGAACACTGAACTCAGGGAAATAAGGCTGGGAGGAAAGCCAAGGTGGCAGTGGGTTAAAATCCTAACAAAAAAACAAAAAACCAAAAACCCCACAGGCTTGTTCCTTGCTCTCCATACATGATTTATTTTCATTTTTAAATAATAGAAGGTAAATGAATAGGGAGGGAGAGGAGTTTTTTTGGTGGTCCTGAGTGACCATTGCTCAGAGCCTGGCCAGTTTCAGGAGCAGCACAGCTGAGCCAGGCAGATGTCAGAGGTGGGGGGAAGCAGTGTTGCTTCTCTCCAGCCAGTGAACAGTTTTCCAAATGGTCTGGGACTTGGGTATCTTCCATGTTGATGCCATGGTCGGTAACACAGTTGTATAGTCAGAGGCTTACAGAAGGCAGGCAGGAAGAGCACGTGAGTGAAGCAGGATGTAAGGCAATAGGGAGTGGAGGGGACTGTGGCGAACTGCAAAGGGCACATGCTGTCTAAAGGAGCAGCCCTGTTACCTTCCAGCTAGTTATTGCCACGTGGGACTCTAGCCCAGCATGGCCAGATATCTTTTTTTTTTTTTTTTAAGAGAAGCCAGAAATCCAATTTTTGCTGTAAATTCCCCCATTAAAATAAAACAACAGAGTTAGGACCTGACAAAATATGTCCGTGGCCAGACCCAGCCCACAGATGGTCAGCTTGCAGCCTGTGATCTGTCTTGGTTGAAACGGAGCCATGGAATCCTTTACTGTCACTCTCCCTTCTGTGTTTCCAAAGGCAAGTTTGATGACTTGCTCATAAGGCATCAGATCAAGTACCTGGGGCTGATGGAGCACCTGCGGGTGAGACGGGCTGGCTTTGCACACCGGCGGAAATATGAGCATTTCTTGCAAAGGTAAAGTTGGTCGTGTTGAGTTGAAGCTGGTACAAATACCTACTGTGTGAGGACTCTCAGGGTGCGTTGCTGAATAAAAGGCCAGGCCCCAGGCAACTCCATTTGGTTAATTGCTGTAGACTTGACTGTGATGAGCACTAACATTTTGCAGAATAGGAAACTGATTCGCTGTACCTCCTTCCCTTCCTGACGTTAAGCCTGTAACTTCTTGGAGTCCAGGAAACACAGGTTAACGCGCAGACCTGCCACCCAGGGGGCAGAGTGGGCAGTGCACCACTTGAGTCTGTATTTAGTTGGGGAAGACCCTTCCCATGGTGATTGTAGGTGCTAGTTTAGCCTTCAGTCTGGAAGCGATCCTCCCGGCCTCATGGGCTATCAAGAGAAGCAGGTGGAGTGGTGTGAACATAAGTTCATAAGGATTTAATGATATAACCCCACCACCACCGCCACTCAAATTGCTTATGCATCAGCACTTCATTGGTGGGGGGCTATGTGTGAATTTGTCCTACCAAAAAAAACAAAAAAACAAAAAAAAACACATTCTCACACACTCAAGGGAAGCAGAATAAAATTGTTATTTTTGTGGGTTGCCATGGTTGAATATTGGCAATTTTATATTTTAACCTGATACTAAGCTGCTTTTGAGCTTCAACTGTATAAAAGCCTTGCGCACGAGCTTACATTTTTCATCAGATTTCTTGCATTTTGCAACTTACATCCAGATCCTGCCCTTTGAAACTTGAGCGTTTTCTAGCAGCTCTAATTTGTAGCCCCTGATTTAGTGACCTCAGATCTTTCTCTACCAAGGATCATGTTTGTTTTTCTCCCGTGAGCCTCATGCCTTGATAAGTAGTATCTGCTTATATGCATTTATTAAGTAATAATCTCTTTCCTTACTGTTCTGTTAATGATTTATATACCTGCTGACACCCTTTAGCTGTAACCCCCTTATCTCCTTACCACCCCCACTCCAGCCCGAAGCACTCACTAACCTACTGCTTGTCTCTCTAGATTTCCCCATCCTGAACATTTCATATGCATGAAATCATACAGTATGTGGCCTTTTGTGACTGGTTTCTGTCACTTGGCATAGTGTTTTCAAGGTTCATCCCTGTTGTAGTGTATATTTTCATTCCTTTTGAGGGCTGAATCATGCTCCATTGTGTGGATAGACAGGCCACATTCTATTTATGCATTATCAGTTGATGGGCATTTGGATTGTTTCTGCTCGGGGCTATGATGAATAATACTGTTCTGCATATAACATATAATATGCATATAACATAATAATACTGTTATGCATATGCATAGGTTTTTATGTGGACATGTGTTTTTATTTGGGAGGGGGTATACCTATGAGTAGATTACTAGGTTGTATGATAATTCAATGTTTATTTGTTTGAGGAACTACCAGACTGTTTGCCTTGTGTTTGCTCATCAGCTACTTGTATTTCATTCACCATTTTCACATATCCATTTTTTTCTGAGTCTAACTTGGAGTAGAGATGGCCAGAATCAGCAGCCGCCGCCCACCCTACCCCCTAAACACATGCGCATTTGATGTTCCCATTTTTTTTTTTGCATTTTTTTTTGCACTTCACAAATCTTTTCTATTTTGTTATTGCCTGAGGCTCCTTCACTCTTTCTGTAAATACTACTGAGCACCTGCTGTGTACCAGCGCTGTCCTTGGTGCTGGGTAACTGCAGGACAGCACAGACCCCACTGCAGCATGGGGTTTGCTTCCCAGTGGGGGAGCCCACTAGCTATAATGAGGATATAGGCGGTCAAGTGGGGATATGTCTTTGAAGGGAAATGAATCTGGGGAGGGGAAAGAGGAGCAGGGTCGAAAGGTGGAAGGCTTTACCTCTTTAGGTAAGGTGGTCTGGGAGGGCCTTTCCAAGTGGAGGGAGGGAGCCATGAAGGTATTTGGGGACAGTGATCCAGGGAGGAGAGCCTGGAGGTGGGAACTGGGTGGGCTGGAGGAACAGCCAGGAGGCTGGCATGGCTGCAGGTCAGTGGGGCTCAGGGAGGGGCTAAAGATGATCATATGTGTGCACCCTGCCTGGCCTTACTTCCCTTGATCAGGAAGCTATTGTATCTCACATTTGAAATTTACTAGTGGAACTTACACAGATGGAACGTACTAGTCTCTCTCACTGCCAGTGTTTAAGGCATCTCCTCATTCCCCGCCGTGTCTGTCTAGCCCATGTTTGGACAACTTTGATGACGTGTGCTAGTGATGGGCGTGGCCTGGACAGCCGGGAGCAGGGCCTGGGGCTGTACTGTGTTCCCTGGGGTTGGCGTGCCCCTGTGCCTTTGTGCGTACGTGGCTAGACCGGGAAAGGTAACCAGGGAAGAACACATGACACTCAGTGCCTGTCTTAATTCAGGCGGCTAAAACAAAGTACCGGGGACTGGGTGGTTTACAAACAACAGAAATTTATTTCTCACAGTTTGGGAGGCTGGAAATCTGAGCTCGAGATAGCAGTGTGGTCATGTTCCGGTGAGGACTGTCTTTTGGGTTGCATGAAGTCCGCCATTCTCTCATATCCTCACGTGGGGGAAGGAGGGTGAGGGAGATCTCTGGAGGCCTCTGTTATAGGGACACTCATCCCTTTCATGGAGGCTCCCTCATGACCTCATCACCTCCCAAAGACCCCACCTCCTAAAGCCATCACATCGTGGGTTAGGATTTCAGCATGTGAATTTAGGAGTAAGGAGACGACACAAACATTCAGTCCATTGCCCTTCATGGACTTGCTCATAAAGTATAGTTCCTGGAAAATAAACCCATTTTAACAGAGTAAAATGTGGGGTCCTGGGTGGCTCAGTTGGTTAAGCATCTGACTTCGACTCAGGTCATGATCTTGCAGTCCGTGGGTTCGAGCCCCGCGTCGGGCTCTGTGCTGACAGCTCAGAACCTGGATCCTGTTTCGGATTCTGGGTCTCCCCCTCTCTCTGCCCCTCCCCTGATCACATGCTGTGTCTCTCTCAAGTAAAACATGAACGAATTTTATTTTATTTTATTTTTTTCAACGTTTATTTATTTTTGGGACAGAGAGAGACAGAGCATGAACGGGGGAGGGTCAGAGAGAGGGAGACACAGAATCGGAAACAGGCTCCAGGCTCTGAGCCATCAGCCCAGAGCCCGACGCGGGGCTCGAACTCACGGAGCGCGAGATCGTGACCTGGCTGAAGTCGGATGCTTAACCGACTGCGCCACCCAGGCGCCCCTAGAACGAATTTTAAAAAACAGTGTAAAATGTGATTTTGAAATAGTAGGAACCATATAACATTATTAAGGGCGAGAAGCATAGTAGGAGTAACGTAGCTAACATTTTTTTGAAGTCTCGGACTGTGTCCAGTGCTCTCCACAGATTATCTCCCTTCAGCCTTGTGACGGTCCCACGAGAAGGGCTTGTTATTGTTCGTGTTGCACAGGGTGAGGAGGTGAAGTGACTTGCCCGGCTCCTGAGCTGGACTCAAACCCAGCCAGGGCGGTCCCGGATATAATTTCTACCCTTGGTCCACGGGCACTTGGAATTCTGCGTTCTCTTATTTCATTATGTTACAGACAACCATGGCTCTGTCTATGGTGACCACATATAGAAGGAGTGGAATGGAGTTTCTTGGGTGGGGTGTCTGACGATGTCATTGTTCTATGAAGACAGACCAAACCCACCCCGTTGAGACCGTTTCTCCCTTTTATGTTTCTTGCCAAGTGTGTGTTATTGAATTCAAGGAAGTTGGTATGATGAGTCTGCTAGATTGTGCTGAGTAGCTGACATACCACAGCAGAGCACATCCTGAGCTCTGGAGGGGAGTGGGGGTGGGGGAGGTGAGTGGAAGGTCCGAAGGCTTTCTGCAAGGGCCTCTCCTCTCCCCAGGTACAAGTCCTTGTGCCCAGACACCTGGCCACACTGGCACGGGCCTCCAGCAGAGGGCGTAGAACGGCTGATCCAGTACATCGGCTACACGCCTGAGGAGTACAAGTTAGGGAGGTAAGTGGCCAAGAAATCCCCGTTGAAAAGGTTTGTGCATTGACCTGTATGCGTCTAGAGCCTGGAGATGAATTTTTAAAGGAATTTACATAGATTGACAAGCGGATACCTCCATCCACTCAAGTTAAATGCAGCTCTGTGAAGAAAACACTGCGTGTACCTGCTCACCTTGCTTTGCTCACACAGAATATTGCACAACGTTTCTGAAAGTAGCTGAGTGTCCACAGTTGAGCTCCATTCTGACACTGTCTACCTAGGTAGTGTCCAATGCCCAAGTTAAGGACTCAGCCTCGCCAGACTGTCTACCCCCGCCCCCCACTTCAGATGCCAGTTACAAGTCCCACTGGTCACCTGTGCTTCTGACCACTGACTGGCTAGCTATTGGAGGTTCCCAGGACCCCCTCTTTGGGTTCAATCGATTGGCCAGAGTGGCTCAGAAAACTCAGAAAAAAAATTTTACTTGGGTCCCTGAGTGGCTCGGTCGGTGGAGCCATCAGCTCAGGACATGGTCTCGCAGTTCAGGAGTTCGAGCCCCGCATCAGGCTCACTGCTGTCAGTGAAGAACCTGCTTTAGAACTTCTGTTCCCCTCACTCTGCCCCTCCTCCGCTTGCACAGATGCTCTCTCTCTCTCTCTCTTTCTCTCTCTCTCAAAAATTTAAAGAAAAAGTAAAACATTTTTCTTACTGGATTGCCGGCTTATTACAAAAAAATAGAACTCCAGAACAGCCAGATGGAAGAGATACATAGGGCGGGGTCTGGGGAAGAAGCCTGGAACTTCCACACCCTCTCCAGGTACACTCAGAACATCACGCCACG